AGGTTATCTCAGCAATTCAGGTGAACTTGCTCCTATTGGAGTTTCTCGAATCCACACCCTATCTGAGGCCATTGCTCCGTATCTACGCCGGGCTGCAGCAAACCAGACAGATCTAGAAAAGCTGAACTATGAAAAATACGTCGAACAACTATCGACTTTAGCAACTAATTGGGAATCCTTGCCAGAATTTCAGGCTAAGAGTGTAGATGACACTGGAGAAACCTACACCGAAAATGCGATCGGAGACCTTCCTCTAAACATTCAAGAGCAACTACGAAAGCAAATAGTCAACCAAACAGAAACACAATTACAATCACAATCACCAAAACCCAGCGTAAACTCTCCAATACGTGACCGTGAGGGAGATATAAAAATGTCAGGGACTGACATTATTTCTATTGTTTCTACAGTTATATCAGCTATAAATAATGGAAACAATTCCAAAGGGTTTGGACAAGCTCGGCCACTAGATAAACGTCCAAATGCCCCTCATTGTTCCGAGGAAGAACGCCATCAGCGTCTCAAATCAGGTCGATGTATTCGATGCAATGTATTTCCATCGCACCGTTTTAGAGAATGCAAGTTTAAAGGTTTTCGCTCAGAAATGTCCAATCTAAGGATAGCTTCTGCATCAATAAGCGAGTCGGAAAACTAGCAGCCCCTGTACGAAGTCGTGTTCAGGGGAATGTTGGTGTGTTTGGAGAACTACTAGATCAAATACCACCTGCTAGCGAAATTAGGGAGGCTGTTGAAAGGTTGAATAGTAGTCCATTTTTAATTGATATTTTAATAAATTCTACTTGTTATTCCACCGCACTCTTTGACACAGGATGCCTACCCTACGCAGTTTTTGATCGTAGTTTTGCAGACCAGGCACACTTACCACGCCTTCCAGTCACCCACAGATCTCTAAAGCTCGCCAAAGATGGACCTCAAATTCCCATTACCGAAATGACTTGGGCTACACTTGACATTGACGGTAGAGCTGAAAGAGTATTTGGCTACATAGTAGCAAACTTACAATATAATATAATCCTCGGCAAAGGTTGGGCCGAGCGTAACAATGTAACATATGAAGCAGGTAAGAAGTTTCTCACTCTAGGAAGTGGTGCAAACGCAATAAAAGTCAAGGAGTCTGGATGGATGGAACGGGATGAGTTATCAGGCTCTATGCACCAACTACGTCAAGCAAAAAACGTTACAGCTTCAATATTTGCCGCGGAAATCCGTCGTGGAAGAAAAGCAAATAAACATCTACATTTATTCTCCATCACTATAGCAGATATCAACAAGGCCTTGAAAAAATTAGATAACTCAGCGGTCAAGCAAACGGTGGAAGAAATATCAAATCAAATACCTCAGCAGCTTCGACATTTAGCAAAGAACTTTCTAGCTGATGAAGATGGAATCCTCCCAGAATCTAAGCCAGGATGGGACCATTCTATAAACCTTGATCTAGACGATGAAGGCAAACCTAAGGAACCCCCCTCAGGTCCACTTTATGGCATGTCACGAGATGAGCTCCTCGTTCTCCGTAAAACTCTTACAGATTACTTACGTAAAGGATGGATTCGCGCCAGCAATTCTCCTGCAAATGCACCGGTACTATTCGCAAAAAAACCGGGCGGAGGTCTTCGATTCTGTGTTGATTATCGTGGCCTCAATTCGATAACAAAAAGGGACAGATACCCGTTGCCGCTCATCAAAGAAACACTTCAGCAACTCTCCAAAGCCCAATACTTCACAAAACTTGACGTCTGTACTGCATTCCATCGCCTACGTATTCGACCTGGCGATGAATGGAAAACAGCGTTTCGAACAAGGTATGGACAATACGAGTGGCTTGTCATGCCATTTGGATTATGCGGCGGACCAGCTACTTTTCAACGTTACATAAATGCTGTGTTACAAGATATTTTGGACGAATACTGTTCAGCCTATATGGATGATGTTATCATCTATTCTGATGGTGATTTATCCGACCATTATAAAAAGGTTGAAGAAGTTATCAGACGACTCGAAGAATCTGGCTTACGGTTAGACATCAACAAATGTACCTTTGCCACGTCTGAAGTCAAATATCTTGGGTTCGTAATCAAGGCTGGCGAGGGTGTTACAGTTGATCCAGCCAAAATAGAAGCCATCAAAAACTGGGAGGAACCAACGACAGTTTCTGAAACCCGCTCTTTTCTCGGTTTCGCAAATTTTTACCGAGAGTTTATTCCAAAATTTTCGGCCATTGCCCAGCCATTGATCAGTCTCACATCGAAACAAACCCGCTGGAGCTGGGACACGAAAGAAAAAGATGCATTCGAAAAGCTTAAGTCTATGCTATCCTCAGCACCATTATTAGCGCTTTTTTCAGCCGAGAAAGAAACCTATTTGGAAGCAGATGCCTCTGGCTATGCTATCGGTGGGGTTCTTTCTCAAATTGACGAAAAAAATCGTCTAAGACCAGAAGGTTACTTTTCACGTAAATTGACTCCAGCAGAATCAAACTATAACATTCATGATAAAGAACTGCTCGCTATTATAACAACAATGCGCCATTTTGATGGTGAGCTTCGAAGCGTTGAAAATCCTTTTACCGTTATCTCAGACCATCAAAATTTACGATATTTCACAACTTCAAGACAACTTAGCGAACGTCAAGTGAGATGGGCCGAGACCTTGGCAAGGTTAAACTTCAAAATTGTATTCCGGCCTGGCTCCCAGTCCGGTAAACCAGACTTTCTTTCGCGGCGGGCACAAGAAGCCCCGCGGGATACGTCGGACGAGCGGTTACAAGGCCGCAATATCCAGTTGTTCAAAAATAATTTAAGCACGTCTTCACCAGAAGAATTCATCTTAAATACAATAAACATTGTAGACTTTCCGGATATGACCTTGAAACATATTGAAACTGACCAGAATATCATGCCCAGCGGCAAAAAATTATTTGAAGATAAGGAAATTGCTTCTTTGTGGGACGAAGCTCTAGAAAAAGACCAAGCTTTTCACAGTATTCATGCATCAGTCGCTGCAGGCCAGTCTACTTTACCTATAGACCTTAAATTAGGGGTTCAAATGACAGATTGTAGCCTAGATGACAGAGGCGCGTTAACACGACGAGGTGCGCTATGGGTTCCAAATTGGGAGCCACTGAGAACAGCGATCATACAACGTTCCCATGACTCAAGTATTACTGGACACCCCGGAAGAGACGGTACCCTTCACATAGTGTCTCGAGCATTTTTTTGGCCTCAACAATATTTAGACATTCGCAGATTCACGCGAAACTGCTCGATCTGTAGTCGATCTAAAGCGTGGCGTCAATGCCCGCAAGGATTACTCAGACCACTCCCTGTACCTGAACGCTTTCATAGTGAGTTGTCGGTAGATTTCATGACAGACTTGCCTGCGCAAAAAGAAGACGACCCCAAATATCTTATGGTTATCACTGACCGTTTACTCAAGAGCTGCACCCTAGAAGCAATGAATTCGATGGAAGCTGAAGCTTGCGCAGAACGCTTCCTAACTTGTCATTATCGTTTTCATGGGTTTCCTAAATTTATAACATCAGACAGAGGGGCAAATTGGGTGGGTCATTTCTGGACTTCTTTATGCAAAATGACAGGTATTAACCAAAGATTGTCGACCGCTTACCATCCGCAGACCGATGGTAGTACAGAAAGGATGAACCAAGAAGTGTTAAACTACCTCCGAGCATTTATTAGCTACTCGCAGATAGACTGGTCTAAACTACTCCCAACTGCCATGTTAGCACTCAATAATAGAAAATCGACAGTTATTGGCACTAGCCCATTTTTTGTTACTCACGGCTATGATGCTGAACCAATACAACAAACACATACTAATTCACGAGCAAAAAAATCACCGCAAGCCCGCGCGCGAGCATTCGTAGACCGAATAATACAGGGTCAAAGCATGGCACAGGCAGCTATGACAACAGCACAGCAATTAATGGAAGAATCAGCCAACCATCATAGGAGACCAGCGGAACGTTTCAAACCGGGCGATACCGTCTGGCTAAACCTTAAAAACGTCGAAACCCCGCAACAAAAAAAGAAACTCTCATGGACTCAAGCAAAATATAGAATACAAAAAGAAATTGCACTTGATGTGTATCAACTAGATGTACCAACAGGCATACATAATCGATTTTTTGTAGACTTATTAAGGCATGACCCAAATGATCCACTGCCTTCACAAAAAGTCGATGACACACAGCCGCCCCCGTTAGTTGATGGAAAACATCCGTTGTATGCTGTTGAGAAAATAGTTCGCGCTGAAACAATCAATGGGCGTCGCAAAGTCCTGGTATTCTGGAAAGGGTTTGCTGAACCCACATGGGAGCCTCGACAAAATCTTAAGTTAACAGATGCCTACAAAGAATTTGTCAAGCAGTACGGGGATGGCGACAAAGTTGGTCTTCAGTTAGGGATGTTTACAGGTCGAACATTAAGAAATCGAACTATGCGAAAAAGAAAAACAAATAAATGAAACCGGGGGAGGAAAGTAATGTCATAGGACACTAATCACGTGCTACAATGTACGCTTGGACCAGTGAGGAACCACTTTTATGTGTATATAGTATTGCGTTAGCCACCATGTCTTTCTCTCCTCATAGATTACAATCATATTATTGTTTTGCCTTTTAGTCAGAGTCTTTCCTGACCCTCATGCTATCACACATTGAACATGACTCATGAAATATCAATTGTATAGAGCCATCCTGATAGCCATCCTGATAGCCTTGAGATATTCATGGGTCTGCAAAGGATGTATTAATTACGAATTAAGGCATGGTTCTTCATCATACCATTTCTGTCAACATTCATCCACAATTTTGGGTGCTAATTCCTCTCCGTCTTTCAGGTCAAAGACTGACGAAGAACTACCTCACAAAAAAGAGTTGATTTCAAAGGTCGACCAGCTGACTGAATTTGTGACCAGTTCCGTCTCCAAAAACCAGCCGTTTCCACAGCTTTGCGGTCAACATGCGCTGTCTATTTGCATTTCTTTTGATACCTCAGGAAGGTCTAGAGAACACGAAGCGCTTGGCTATATTGAGCAATGAACTTTTTGGTTCATATTACGATGTTTTCATACCTGAAGCCAATGAAAATTTCCCGGTTGTCAAATTTAGTACCGGAATAAAGATGACGAAGGTCGAAATCACCGGGCCTGGCACGTACCCAAGGGCATACTGCACCGAAAAACTGTCATTAAAGAGTCTGATAAAAGAAGTCACCAGAAATTTGAAGAGTGCTTATGAACACTCTCATTTGGGACTGGGTAACGCCGATGAGGCGGCAAGAAGATGTCTTGAAGTACTCAAAACTTTATCCGTTTCGGCAAGGGAATCATCAGATATGGGTGTATCAACTACTGAGTATACACCACTTAATACTATTGATCCTTCTTATCAATCGACTTCCAATGCCAGAAAACCGAAAAAAATACGGCAACGTCTCTTTGGAACCTCATCGCATAAGCTAGAGCAGCTACCGAAGATATTACACTCAGAAATACGTGAGATGAAAAATTGTCCGGACTTGGGGCTCATCAGTCTCGCCTATCAGAAAAAGATAAAAGTTACAGGTCTCGGAGTCCACTTTGCTCCGGAAAACTCCCATGCAGAATTTGAGGTGGAATTCGATGATACTGTGGACATAAATGGTATTATCTTTTCAGGCCAATCATTTCCACAAAACATCCGCCACCATCAAAATTACGTCCTGGCTTGGTATATGGGTCATCTGCATATATTCAAAAAAAATACCCCCAACTCTCAATGGTGGCCAGAAACGTTTATTGGATTAGAAAAGGGTAATGGGAATAAGATAACACACTTTATCAGCGAAAATTATAAAGAGGTACAGCCCTTGACTAAAATCATCGATGAATATGATGAGCATGAATTTGTTTCAGGATGTTGTTTTATAAACTGCTCTAGTTGCGAAAAAGAGTATCGACAAAAGAGCGATCGGATAATTTCTGAAATCATGTATTTGAAATTGGGGAGACTACCTGAAACCGTGACAGTCACGTACTAAGAGGAGGTCATACTCTCATGATCAAAGTGCCTGGAGGGAAAAGTTGCACGCCTCAGAATGGGGCCGTGTTGGTGTGAGTGTGTATACTGATTGTAATTTGTTTATCATAATCATTAATTAATCGACTCGGATTCCAATCAAATATTGGTCTACAATCGAATTCGTTGATCGACTTGTAGGGTAATTTAGTTTACCGGCCTGTTATCATAGACACAGAAATAGATTCATGAGATAGTTTAATGAGAAGCTAGGATTTCTTAAGAAAGATACGTGGGCCACGGTATTACGTTGTAAATGTTGACTTGAGAGCTCTTATGCTACAGATGAAGTCTATGTATTGATAGCCAGGTCATGTGACCTGACTAGCTTAGTTTACATGAGTAGGTGGCATAGTTCCCCTTGACAGGATTGACTCCGATATTATTTAGTAGAAGGCTTGTCCCAACCACGGAAGGACCACAAAGTCTTCACTTATTTACAGCTTCATCCCCCATCTTCCATCCACGCTAGCAATAATTGACCTAGTATACAAAACTTGGTCCGTATCATCGGTTTGGTCTTGAGGTTTACCATATATTTTGCCACTTGATTCAAATGCTTTCTTACTTTGCGACACGCTGTTGGGTTCTTGAGGATGTAGAGTCACAAGAGTGATTTGTTTTTGTTTTTTTCATTAATGTGCTAAGTACATGTCACCCATCGCACCCCTACTGGAACTTAAGCACTAGTAAGGCCAGGTCGGATCTGATCAACTATCGTGGAGTACAGATGTACTCCGTCCCACCTAAATGACCGAACCACCTCGGACTTCACCGATAGGTTGAATCATACCAAGCCTCACCGTCCAGAAACCCGCTATATGCACGCCGTAACGCATATTCCTCCTCAGCCTCAGTCACCACGTGCCCGAGCCCTTGACATCCTCATTGAATCCCATATTGAGATTTCGCCCCAGATCTTATCGTTACTCTTGCCTTGCACCTTTATATCGTTCCGTTGGGTTGTTGTCGTCATTTGGAATGTGTGTGATCCCCTCAGTGTATTTTCCCTTTTCATCCTCCGCTGTACACGCTCTGTTTCCATCATGAGTTTCCTCATTAGGGCATGTGTAGGTAGGTGATGTGACGAGTATAGAGGTGAGTCGCAAGTGTTGGATCGACTGAGAAGTGCTTCGTCACGAATAAATAAGGAGTTTGAGAGATGTCGAATTTTTTAATACGACCCCCAGATAGATCTAGACTCATTCGTGAATCGTATTACGGTAATGATGAGTTTTTGTTGGACTTTATTGCGGTTGTGATATCTCTGCCGACTGATTTTTCGACCAAAATACCAAGTACAACTCCATCAAGCTGGAAATCCACCAAATGAATTCATCTCACCCTAGTTCATGACTGAATCTCGGCTATGGGAGAATTATTCACTCCCAGATTCGTGGAGGACACCACTGATAAGTGTTCAGCCTTCGTCCGTCTACACAGGGATGATAATATACGGAGGGTAAAATAAGGTATATGGAGAAATATGTAATGTGTAATGTGTAATGTGTAATGTGTAATGTGTAATAGTTACGCGGGATGATGTTAATAAATTAAGTACCGAGTGTGTGAAGGGATTTCACCTAGCCAGGGTGACTTTTCTCAACATCTATCAGTAATGTCCCTTACGAGCCTGCAGAGCCTAGATTGAGTAGATAACTCCTCACTTCAATAAGGATTCCCAATCGCTTCTGGCATCTGTGTTGTCCTCATCTCTCAACGCATCCCCTATCACCACTATCATGAAGCTAACCACGATCAGATCAGATGGTAGGGTCGGAGCCCTACTAATCACCAACCCTTGATCATGGAGGAGAAGCCATCCGATGAGTTTCCGGAGCGTACCCAGCACCCGATACGGAGATGGCGGATTGGATTAAGTCGACCTCGACTGTTACAAAGAAAGGAGATGTAGATGAATATGCGCACCTCATGTGGTCCCGGTGTCTAGGCCTCGCCTGAATGGGGCTGCAGGTTTTTCGAGACTTATTCCCGCGCACGCAGTTTCCATTGCTACCATTTATTTTTATTTTGAGTAGAAGGTTCCGTAGAAATGGTAGTCGAATTCCACGGGTAAACGCTGATCCGAATGGCTATTCGTCACGGGCAATATCTCCACGATGTTTGGAGTAAAAAAATTGCTGGAGAGCTGTACAGAGTATGACCTGTACCATAGAGAAGACTATCATGATACTAACTCTAGATCAAGGTAGCTTCATATACCACCAATCAAGAAGATGGGCCTGGATTAATAAATATTCCTATATGTAATGGGATATGATGGTTTAGAGGCTTAATATTATTATAATTATCATAATTTCATTGCCCTGTCTCAGTTTGTGATTGTACCGGACATTCAGGTTTTCTCTGCCTACCAACCAAAGATACCTATAACAGTGATATTTTCCCTCCTTCACCTCCTCTGCATCTCCCCTCAAAAGTACACATTTTAATATATACTAAGAGGACCACTTTGCCCTTCATTATTTCCTTTCTCCAGCCAATACAACGACGACCATTTGCGAGTGTATGGCAGCTGGGGAAAATTGTGAAAACTACTGAGTGCGGGTCTCTCCCAATACTGACATCAGGACCAAGTGCGAATATAGCTACCATTCCGAACCATTCGACGAGGCCCGTTAGATGTGCGCTGTGGACTTATGAGTAACTAAGCAAGCCCCCTTTTTGCCTTTTCGTCAGATGGTCTCGGCGGAGATGGTTGCAACTTTTCAACGCGATATCTGATCTTTGACTGAGCGCCCGAAATGCACAGCATCGAGAGAAAATCAGGAAGGAAGAGACTTATTCCCGGACGTAAGCGCAAATCCGTATTCCTTGGCTCCACGGACTAAATGAACACCTTCGAACAGTAGCCATGTCTTCAAATTTAAATTCAATTCTGGCATGAAGAAAATCTCGCACATAGCATCCTTCCTAGGCTTATCCCGACTGCCACTTTAAGGAAAAACTCTACTTGTAATTGTCTGACGTGGGTCTGAATGATTGTCAAAGAGCTAATCTAATAGAAGCAGCGGGTGAAGGGTTGTGGAGAATCGGATCGAGACATGGGAGTCTTGAGGGAGGTTGTAAGCGATGTACTCTGCCTGGCATAATTACTTACTGTCTGCAAACAGTAATAAACTATATACTACACATTTTTTCCGACTTAAAACAAACGAAAATACCTTGATGTAATCATTCAGAAATTACATTTTATCGGGTCATACTTGACACGAAGCTTGAATTCCATTCCTAGAATAATTAGCGGCAATACACACGAGCCATTATGAACAAAATCGACTAGTCTAACTTTATTTATATACAAAATTTTCCCAATTATTACATTAATTTTTCACTTAATCTCAGAGATATATGTCTCTTCACAAGAATAACCAGATATCTTTTGACGGTAAATGCCTTCGTTTGATGAATCCATTGAACATGACTCATGAAATATCAATTGTATAGAGCCATCCTGATAGCCATCCTGATAGCCTTTAGATATTCATGGGTCTGCAAAGGATGCGCTAATTACGAATTAAGGCATGGTTCTTCATCATACCATTTCTGTCAACATTCATCCACAATTTTGGGCGCTAATTCCTCTCCGTCTTTCAGGTCAAAGACTGACGAAGAACTACCTCACAAAAAAGAGTTGATTTCAAAGGTCGACCAGCTGACTGAATTTGTGACCAGTTCCGTCTCCAAAAACCAGCCGTTTGCACAGCATTGCGGTCAACATGCGCTGTATATTAGCATTCCTTTTGATACCTCAGGAGGGTCTAGAGAACACGAAGCGCTTGGCTTTATTGAGCGATGAATATATTGGTTCATATTACGATGTTTTCATACCTGAAGCCAATGAAAATTTCCCGGATGTCGAATCTAGTACCGGAATAGAGATGACGAAGGTCGAAATCACCGGGCCTGGCACGTACCCAAGGGCTTATTGCTCCAATGAATTGCCAAAAAAGAGTATGATTAAAGAAGTCACCAGAAATTTGAAGAGTGCTTATGAACACTCTCATCTGGGACTGGGTAACGCCGATGAGGCGGCAAGAAGATGTCTTGAAGTACTCAAAACTTTATCGGTTTCGGGAAGGGAATCATCAGATATGGGTGTATCAACTACTGAGTATACACCACTTAATACTATTGATCCTTCTTATCAATCGACTTCCAATGCCAGAAAACCGAAAAAAATACGGCAACGTCTCTTTGGAACCTCATCGCATAAGCTAGAGCAGCTACCGAAGATATTACACTCAGAAATACGTGAGATGAAAAATTGTCCGGACTTGGGGCTCATCAGTCTCGCCTATCAGAAAAAGATAAAAGCAACAGGTCTCGGAGTCCACTTTGCTCCGGAAAACTCCCATGCAGAATTTGAGGTGAAATTCGATGATACTGTGGACTTAAATAGTATTGTTTTTCCAGGCCAATTATTTGCACAAAACAACTACCATTATCAGTCTTTCGTCCTAGCTTGGTATATGGGTCATCTGCACGTATTCAAAAAAAATACTCCAAAGTCTTTATGGTGGCCAGAAACGTTAATTGGATTAGAAAAGGGTAATGGAGAGAAGATAATAGATTTTATTTGTAAGCACTATAAAGTGCTTCAGCCCTTGACTAAAATTATCCATGAACATGATAAACATGAATATGCTTCTGGATGTTGTTTTATAAATTGCTTTACTAGCAATAAAGAGTATCAACAAGAGAGCGATCGAATCATTGCTGAGATCAGACCTTTGAAATTGGAAAGACTACCCGAATCAGTTGATAAATTGTAGACGAACGGTGTAGGTATCACAGGGGTAATTAACTTTGAAAAGCGGATGTGGATTCAGTAAGAGTGCTTCTATTCTCTCTCTAGGTTCGGATTACATTACTATTCAGTAGGTTCTATGCCAAGACGCTAGCCAGTAGTTTGCCTCTAGTTACCGCCCACATGAGATTACTACTTGTACGACTATTACTACAAACGGAAGTTTTCGTCATATTGATCAGGCGGCAAGAATGATAAGCTATTCGTCTTGGGATGGGACTGTTGAGGTATGCGTGTGTGAATTAAAATTTGGATTCTGTAAGCATTAATGCAGATAGTTGTACAAGAGATAGTTATTTTAAACATGCGATAATTCAACTACCATATCAATTCCCTTTTTGAGTTTTTGCTAAAACCTTTCTGTCGAAAAATTGGATTTGTGGATGTTTGTTGTTTGTTTGTTTGTTGAGTACTGAACGTCTAATGATTATCATCACTATTCCCGAATTGGAAAAAGGATGCCAGAGCTTACTGCTCTGGAAACCGGGGGCGCCTAGCTTTCCCGTACAAAGAAGAAGGGGCCTAAGATGAAATACGGTGTCAGATGACTTAAAACGTCACGCTGTCCACGGAAATTTTTGCCTCCCAGATAGAATGAGGGCCAGTCATAGTGGGAAAAATATCTTCTCGGCATGCTAAATTAAATGAGAGAAAAGGAAAGAAAAGGAAATTTAGCCCATAAGCATTCTTTTAACCAGTTCAAAAGACTATTCAATCAGCATGTGCTAAAATAAAACTTCCCAGAAGAGGAAGAGAAGATATTAGAGCACAGAATAGAAGAGCAGACCTTGCATACTGGAAAGAGATTTGCGGAGAGGAGAAATCCAAGGACTTACAAGAAGAAGCGATAAGAGTTGCAGCGTACCTGGAATAGGCGAAATCTTGGTCAGCCGCAAAGCGAACTCGACAGCCTAAAAGATTTGCTTCAGCAGATCCTAAAACTTGGGCAGCAGCAAAGTTCTACCAATGCCGCCATTCTGGACGTACAAAAATAAGCTTCCGGGAGTCACCATTATCTCTCCACAAAAACCTGACGAGGGCCCAAAGTGGCTTAGCAATCCAAATTCGAAGCGAGCATATCGGGCTCAATTCGTATTTGCATAGAAGAAAAGTACCAGGAGTTTATCACCCAAGTTGTCCGTGTGGCTACCAATCACAAAATCCCAAGCACATGATCATGTTCTGCCCTCTGGATAGAACAATTCCGCTTGACAAATGCAGTCGAAATGCAGCTCAGGGAACGAGACGGAACATGAAGAAAGTTGGGGTCGATAGAAGGGACGTGATTGGTACACATCGACGGCGTTATAGTGTAACTGTGCTTCCTGAAGGATAAATTGCAAACTATAAGAATTAAATCAGAAAGCTTGGGGGGATTTCACCGAGAGGTTTCCTCGTATGTAAATATATAGATAGGTTTATAGCCACCTGCATGAGCCCATAGGGCGCCAAATCAGGGCAATGAACACAAATCAAATCAAAAAGCATTCTTTTATTTTTATTTTTCCTTAAATTGCTACTAAGCGTCGTCCATTGATGTCTCAGGAGGAATCTATTGGAAATATCGCGCAATGAAATGGGCGCAACATTTATGGATGAACGAAGAGTTTGACCAAAAGAGATGGAGGTGTGCGCTACAAGTGTAAGCGATACAGAGCCTAAGATGCAGCATAAACGAATGTGGCGCCATCAAGATGTAGGAAACCCCCCATTAACCTCCTTGTGCCCACACCGTGCAGTCGCTCATGTATCCAATATGTAGCCTGAAGCGCTGCCGTGTTACCCATTCCAACCTCTTAAACACACACAAGATCGTGTCGGGAACCTAGACGAAATGGAGGGCGCGTACGTCCATAACACACTGTGTCTCCATTTCCAAAAGAATCTGGGGATAAATTTTGGTGAAGAGCTGTGATTTTTTAATCCATTATACAAGTTTTAATGCTCCTGTGGGGACCCAAGAATGGATTTGTGGATGTTTTTATTGGGCTACTTAACTGGCATATATTTCTGGAATGACTGTGACGCGGCTTTGTTGAATGATTAGTCAGTACATATACGATACAAATAGGGTTTTTTTTGGATCATTTATTGTGTAAATAAAAATAGTTTATAAAAGTAGATTAGGAGAGAAATATGCACATAAACTAACGATCGAGTCATACGCTACACCTGATAAGTGATCACCCCTGTTTTGACTGCTAAATGCAGCTTTATCAACAATGCTACGCGTCGGGTAGTTCTGTAGGGACTGGGCCGTCCAGCACGTGACTAAGGTCACGAGCTGTAGACAGGCACGACGTTAAATTTAATCAAATCAAATCAACAATGCTACTGTTATTAGTTCCAGTCTAGAGCGAAAATTATTTGTTAGTTTTTATTTTAACGTGCGACTTACAGGCCCTGCATCTAATCTGATATGACATGAGAAATTTATCCCGAAAGACTCATTAGCACCAAGATAAGAAATTCAAAACAAGACAACAGATGGCATGAGATTCGCAGTTCCTAGGTTTGGTGCCCCGAGTTTCGCCTTAATCCTCTGAATTTGTCCAACAAGAGACGATTTTCTACATCAACACCTTGACTTACGCCGGTTTTAATCACATTGACCCAAGACATTTTCTCAAACTCTCATCCATAGAGGCAAACGTGGTGTCTTGTTTTTATAGTGTCAGGAGAGCAATCCGAAATCTTTTACTTGGCGCTCACAGATTTCATTGTTCAAAGTCCCTAAAAATGCTAGCACTGGCGTATCCATAAATGTTTGCTTTCACTTTCCCACGTTTTGCGCTCTGACTACACGTCCTCTCTCTCGAGTTGAAGGGCTCCATGAGTGCAACGGTTCTCCGTAAGTTAAGAGCCTAGCTTTGTATGTTATGACTTGACTTCCTTCTTTCGGGTATACACATCATTGTTACTTTGTAGTGAGTATGGTTAATGATTAATAAGTCAATCACCCGCCTGCAATTAGAGCTGGTCCTTGACTGTCGTTAAGGCGCGGTGGCCTATGGTAAAATTAGTTGGAGGACTCATATGTATCATGATTGGTTAATATTATGGGAATATATGCTTGCGCTGGAACTGCTGAGATAGTTCCTTGAGTGATATCTTGAATGATAGGTGGAAGGGAGGTAACTCTGGATTTTTATATGTTACAAATTGGGGGAAGCTCGTCTCTTATCCCCTAGCTAGTTCATTTGTAGACTGATCACGTAGCCAGTATATATATATAATTCATTTCCCTGATTTGGCGTCTTGAGGCCCATGCAGGTTTTTATTGGAAGATATGTACTTTATGTAGGATGACTCAATTTGACGATTAGAACACTCACTCTCAAATTTCATTTGCAGATACCACTCGAGGTTAACCCTTACGGCGTGTAACCTCTTCCGTGCACACGCACCATAGGGAAAAGCGTGAAAAACCTGAGGCTATCCGAGTGTACTTTCATCATCCCACAAGAACAATGTCATCGCGAGAGAGTGTGGTGTGTGGGTCTGACTGGATTCGAACCAGCTTTTTCCAGTCTCGAATGGGGTAGGTGTTCAAGCTACCCAGTATCTACTTAGGAGAATGGCCCGGATGGTGTACCACTTCACCATCCACCCAATTATTGCAGTTAGTAACGAAGTTTAACCCACTACTAACTTCCTGGACTTATTGGTTACGGGTAGCTTATGCAATCATGAAGGACAAAGGAATGTCAGCTCAACCACTCTTCGGAACTCAGGCACCGGAGGGTAAGACTGAACACCTGTACGCAGTGTCATCTGCGAACCGGGAATTCAAATATTCTCCCGGAGCCAAGTTCAGTCAAATTTCGCAATATCGAATAAGTTGACTCACGAGGCAATGATTCACTACTCTTAACCAAATCAGTATCTCACTCCTGACAAGGTTGATTCTATCCAAGCCTCATCAAGTCTACAAGTACGACCAAGTACATCATTATTCCAATGATCACACCTCTCGTCGGCTTTCTCTGGCCTCAGCCGGTCACCAAATATACGCCCACGCCGATATTTATACCCGACGGAGGACACAAAGCGTGGCGCACAAATCTGGAAGACAGTTCTTTTGAATTGGCGTGAGAGGATTCAGGACAAGTTAACAAGATGATGCGACGGATGGATACATTCTCGACAGGCGTGTAATTTGGAATTCTCAACAAGAAATGTAACGAATTGAGAATTATGCGTACGCCAAGAATTCGGTTTCGAGAGTGCAGGCGACACTATAAACACCGCAATGGTTGGATGGTGCAGTGGTATATCGTCTTGCCCGGTCTGCCAAGTAGAGTCTGGATAGCTTGGACACATATCCCACTCGAGACAGTAGATCGCTGGTTCAAATCCGGCAAAACACAACCACATTTCTCGCGGCGCTGGTATGCATGGATGAAGAAGGCATGCTTGGATAACCAAAGGTATCGAAATTCCCTTTGGTGGGTACTTACGGAGGAGGGTCGACTGTTTGTGTGAGCGAACATACCTCACAATGGTAGTTACGAATGAAATCCAGAGTATGAGTGTCTCCAAGGTCAAAAGAGTCATCCCTTATGTATACATAGCACTGATCCTGTGCCATAGCTAGGTAGCTGAATACACGACTGGTTGTCAAAAAAAGATCACTCTTCCATAGAAAAATGTAGATTATTTTGTGACATTGCTTGCGTGCAGTGACCACGACCTTCGTCTTTTTAAACTGTCCTACGGCCGGAAGAGTGCTACACGGCGCTGTCTAGTGACTCGCCACTTCTCCGTCCCTGATCACCCTATGGCAAATCCCTGCGCATTCTCAACATTTAGATTAGACTAGATTTTCAGGATAAAACTTGCAGAATCTGCGATTATGGAGGACTGTGGGAACCTTCTCAACATCTATAATGCGCCTTCGAGCTGCGCTAGTGAGAGTGATTTACTTCTAATTATTCTCCAAATCAATTGAAAGGCACCTCGTCCAGTAAAAGTCGAGAGACTCGTGCAATTTTCACGCTTTGCAAGTTTAGACTAAGGTCCGATTAAGTATTTGTTCGAGATCTTGAGTGATTAGAGGGCCGCAGGATCGTCCACGAAAGACTTTTACGGGTTTGGGTTGTATAATCGACGGTTTTGTTGATAACATAGATGACGACTCTACATACCAGAGTAACTTTAGATGCTAAATTTCAGATTACCTGGAACAACACTTGCTGAAGCATTTCTGGAGGGCGCCAATCTTTTCACTTTCACATCGAGGATATCATTCTTTTACGTTACATATTAGTCTATGACTATCGAAATGAGAATATCATCGATATGCTGGTCGTTGTGCTCCGCGAGTGCGCGACGTTAATCGTTATATTCTCCAGCTGAACAGCTGCTGCCGATCGGGGAGATATTTAATTCTAGATCAACTGACATGGATTGATAATCCTGAGGAATTTTGGAAACGGAAGCCTCGACCTCGAGCGTGGCAGCTGGTGCAAAATTTTTAAAGCTAATAATGACCCACGGTTAATGATCTTCACACTCGCAGATTAGGTCCTAGACTTTAAAGTTCTTGAAAAAGAAATCTCTACACAGAAAAGCAATGGAAAATTAATCTCATAGCAAATAAACTCAGAGCATTACGAGAAAAACAATGCAAAATTACGTTTGACGTCAGCTTTCATATAAATATATTCTAGCTTGGCAGAAGACCCCTGTGCGCTTTGGTATTTCGCCATGTAATAAATCTAGGCTTTTGACAACACCAACGCCTTGGCAACGCAGCGCTTTCTAAAAACATTGAAGCTACACTTCATGAAGATCTCGGTAAATTTATCTTCAGATTCCTCATGCTCTTTCTTAGATGCCGAAGAGACTAAGACCTTATTTTATACTCCTTCCTGTATTCGTCAAGGTCCCCTTGTCAATGTTCTTCAGAAGACTAGTTTCGTGAAGAATATGCTATCGGCTTACCTAGTAGCGTGACCCGTAAGTATGAGAGAAGTTCTCATCACATACCGGCAACCTGGTATTAGATTTGCAGCATCAAGGCTTTTATTTTCCAGTGGAGACAAAAAGCTTCTCACTGGAGCTCAGTAAACACTCCCGATGAGACTCTTATCATTAGCCTCAGCCTTTTCCAAGTCGTCCATATCATCGGTTTTGCCTTCTGTATAACCGACATCATCTGTGCCGACGTCACTTTGATCGCTTAGAGCACTCGTTATAACTCCACGTCCCCGAACATTCACCTTCTTTTGGCCATGACATGGACCTATTAATTTATTTCTCTGAAATATTCTCCCTTTTCCTCGTGTCGCATCCTCCTCGGCACTAAAGTCACAATCATCGCTGCCAGTCTGACTCGTTGAGGCACTCATATTACTAAAAAATTTGACCCCGTTCTGGGCCTGTAAATGATTTATTCGTGGTGATTTGAGAATGTGTAACATACGATCTTCAACAGATATGAAGCTAGGTGTTCCATCGGGAGAAGAGATATTGTCATCATCAGACTTGTCTACCTTGACGGTTAGGCGGGCACGCGAGATGAGATCTTCCTCGGTATTAGTTTGGTTGCGACGTAGAGGGCGACGCGATTGGAGAGCAATTTCCTCAAGAGTTGGAGTGGCACGTCCATTTAACTGCATCGCGTGCATAGAATTTTCTTTCTTGTACGAAAATTTGGCGTGGTCACAACCATTTGGACATCCACCCCATTTTTTACGAGCTAGAGTTGGAGTTGATTGCCCGACTGCCAATGCGTTAAGACTAGCCAAGACTTTGATTTCTCTGTCTTTTTCCGGAGACTTAGTGGGTGGATGAGAGGAGGCACTATTCTCTTTGGCAGCTTCTATGCGCTCTCGTTTGAGCTCAGACCAAGTGCGTAAATTGTTTTCGAGAATATATTTCCCACTGTCCTCCCGCTTGCGCATGATGAGAAACTCGCAATGATTCACATTTCGGAGATCTTCAAAGTATTCCACGCTAAAATGGTACCACTTCATCAAGAAGATTCGAGACATTAACCCGTGGGTGACTTTGAACCAAGTTAGTTCCTATGAACTCGCCTCTCTTCCTGACGGAGGACTTGCCTAGGACGCATACGCTTGCAAAATCTTCTTCGCCGAACTGCCTCCATAGGCTTTCATTGAATCCACTAACACGATCATACGCATCGGCTGCACTCTCACCGTTTGGGATTCTGTAGAAGAAGTGTCCATAGTCAGCTCGTTCCTGCCACATCCTCTCCATTTCGGCGCTGCATGGCTGAAAGTTGCCAAAGTCCTGCTCCCTCAACTTAGGCTCCTCGTATATTTTGATGGAATTCCTGGGAAACGGCGAGGGAGAGGGCTCATCCGTAGTTAGGGTTGAGAGAATTCCTTCCGTAGTTTCGCGAGTACGGCGATAGGGTGAAATGAAAAAATGCAGGGTATCGTCGGCGCGCAGGAGTGAGCGTAGTCGACGACCTGCGTCGTAAGCCTGGGTCCAGCCTTCAGGGGTCAGCTTGACACGGTGATCTGGTATGGTCTGGTGAATATCGCGATTCTCTAGGCTTGGTTAGTGATTGGGTTCCTCAATGGGCGAAGATTTAGACACATACTGTTGCCTTCGGATTGGGCGTGCCGGATGAGGATTATCATGCGTGGCTTCCCCATCTCTTTTTAAGTGCGGCAGTGTGAGGTTGGAAGAAGTAGTAACGGGGAAGTAAAGGTGAAGGTTGGAGGAGATGCAGAGGATGGAGAATACAAAGCACGACAAGCTGTTGCGGTTTATAGGGAATTCCCAGAGTCGCGAGTTCGTAAGTAGAGGGAACAATAGATGCGGCAGAATGTTCTCGGACTTTATTGGATTATCTTTATGGGCCGTGGGGGAAGGGGACGTTGCTTCAAAATTTATGCCTGTTCACAACTTCTGTCGCCTCCGTCATCTCAATACTCGACTTGACTCAAGCTTGAGCCAAAAGTCTCATAGTGACCCTAGCTAGTCGCGGTAATAGCTATAGAAAGCAGTTCCGAGATAATTGCCTGCAGCTGACGCCTTTCCGCCCAGGAAGCTAATGATAAAGACCTACACTCGACATGTGCCCATTGTCACATTCCTAGGTACCGCGAAGGTTCAAGGTCCGACATTACTGGCCGTCCGTGGTGAGTGTCAGTTGGGAGAGCCACCGGATTTAGGAATCTATCGGCAGGCACACTGTACGGGTGAGGGAATAGAGAACGGTGGGAAAGTTATCTGGGCTGCTGAGCTATGAGATTGACGAGATGGGGAGGGGCAAAGGGGAGATCAGTTGACTCTGAGTGTTCACATATTAACACATCCGAAACCTATCGTGGGGCTGAATAGGACCATTGACGTAGATTTCACGTCGATAACCGTGACCGAGATGCTGCAACACAACTGCGCTCTGAAGAAATATGTAGTAGGGCTCCAACGAGGAGATTCGGGCAAATGATGGAGATGGTTACGGGATAGAGGTCATGGGACACAGATGGACGGACAGGCCGTGGAGGGAACTTGGGACATGTCAGAGCCCAGCACGACTGGCATTTGGGGGCGAGGGCGACGGATACATGAGCCCTACTGGCGCCTGGTAGGGGAGGGGAATGCTGACAGTTTCTTCACCGATCGTCGCTACTCTAGAAGCTTATAGTGTCATTTGCTGGGGCACAGTTTGGCCTGCGCCTGACCCTCTTACTGGCTGGCAATATGCGCAAACGGATCTGGGTGGGGAGTGTCCCAGTCGCCTACATACAGAGTTCAGCCCAAAGACCCACGGAATAAAAAGCAGACGGGTATATAGTGGCACCAGTTCCGTTAGGGTCGTCTTGAGACATATTCTCCATCACAGACGCCGCCTCCCGCACACGCCATATCTGGGCTATTGACAGTTTTTACTATTGCCACCACAGTTCCTCAATCACCGCTCAGCGTCACCTGGCGGCACTCCTTTTTATCGTGTCGCCTCGTTTTCATGGCCGAAGATCGCGAGAGTCGGTTCACGCTCTCTCCCCCCCCACAGCCGAAGGTGACTGGCTCAAGTCTTCGGAATTGAAGGGCGGGGAGAGGTTATCACACACATGTTGCTCACTTCTTGCCCCTCAAACGACCTCTTGGCGTGTCAAGCTCCTCCTTTCGCCTCGCCCGAACATGCATAAGCCCGCCCTAGCTCGGCCAATAGTTTTTCCCGATGCTTCGCCCATGTTGACAAAAGACCCCGCACGGATCGGGCTAGCTCCAATCCGGCAGAGGGGCAGGGGTCTTCATGTTCGAAGACGTTTTTGCTGGACTGCCTCCATCGTCCGACGTTCCATGATTGGCCACGAGGCGATCTGAAACGTTGTAGCTCTAGTCCCGCCCCTGCTCCTAACTGTTTCATCCGAAGGGGGTCCATCGAGAATGGTGATCTGTTCCATCCCTGCAGATCGCTCTACCCTGCCTCAAGGCCGTCATTTAAATGGATGGGCTGAGTGGAGTGTATTCTCACAGTGGCAACTGATGTATGCATTGCCGACGGAATTCAGACCGGGTCCCAGTTAATGCATACGGAGTGCTCCAGGATTCCTGATCATCTTCTTTTCTTCTGCTTCATCTATCAACTTCCAAAACGTCAGTTGGATTGGGGCAACACACACTGCTTCTCCGAGATTGCCCCCCCCCCCCCCCGCTCGAGAACTCTCCTGGCCTCAACGCGCTGTGGATCCCTAGCTTCCATCAGATGAGCGCCCCTTACGTTTCGGGGTTTAGACGAGGCATCCTGCTAGAAACAGCTCATCACATCCCTAGATTTATCCAGATTGAAGAAGATTGCTCGTCGTGTTTGTCACATCAGACTAGTCCATTGATGACTTGCTGAACGCTTCTACATACACGTTCAGCTGCTACCGTTACAGCCTCAAGAGCTCTGTCCGCGCTCATGCACCGGCTGATCTAAACTGTATAGAAGACCAGAGATAGAGGTAAGTTTATTGTACGACTTGAGTCTATGACTATCTAGCACATTGGGCTCCTCTCTGACCCAGGCTACACCTTGTACAGTGCTCCTATCCTCCTTTGTTACTTGAAAGATCATTGATATATTCCCCTTGATGAATAGCCATTCAGCTCAGTATTTACCCGTGAAATTCAGCCACCTTTTCCACGGAACATTCTACACAAAAAAAAAGGTAGCCATGGAAACTGCGTGCGCGGGAAAAAGTCTCAATAATCCAGCAGTCCCAGCCAGGCGAGGAGTAGACCGCGGAAGCAACTGGGAATCCTCATCAAAGTGAAGACTTTGTTACTCAATCTCAGCTCTGCAGACTCTACAGTGAGAGCTAGAGGCTCGTAGGGGACACTATTAACAGGTGTTGAGAATAATCCCCCAATAGAAGACCAGAAATTATTAGGTTTCCGGATGCTGGGCTCGCATCATCTGGCAAAAATTGAGACCTATTCAGCCATAAGGTAGAAGATACTGCCGCTGAGCGGCTTTGTCCGCGCGACAAGTTTACAAAGTAGTTCAGTGACGAAGTATATTCCTAGCTGTAGAGAACCGCACTAAATCACTCACATCAATCTCCACGCCCAAAAATACTTAATCATCGTATCGATTTGTCGTGGGTTTTTCAAGCACGGCGATACCACGGATCCGAGGTCTAGGCCGAAGCTCCAGGTTATCCTGGCCTACTATACTGGCAGAGCCTATCAAGATGGTCTCTTTCCTGCTTTATCCGCATGAGCTTCTAGCTGACCAACGTCGAGGGTAAGTGTAAATGCTGAGGATTTGAATTTTAATCAAAGTTCCAAAAATGTCTTTCGTCTTCCCTATCAGTAACCACAAAGCTGATCGGTCACGTCGCCTCAGTCAGGTATCTCCATTTGAATCGTGATGAGTTTACAAAAAACTTTATATTCTTTCTTCATCTCTATCATCAGTAGCTTGTAATTTTTCTCGGCCAAGTTTCAAATCAAGTCCTGTTATGATTCCAATATCAATTTTATCTTTTGCCTTCAGGTACCCAAAATTCACGCCAAAGCTTCTCTGTTCCCGTAATACCTGCTCTTCTGCCTCTCTTGTGATGTGTTTCATAGTCTTGGACTCAAGTATTAAAATAAAAACCAACCCGATGCCGCATACAGGGTCAAGGAAAATGAACCAGAATGGTGATAAGTTAAGTATCCCCCGTCGGTACATCCGCACACAGGCCATTCCTAAAATAGACTAGTAATGGAGCAACATGAGAATGTATGAAAATGAATACTTACCGTGTCAACGCTTCTATATCTCATACACACAACAATACACAAAAAGATGACATTGCATCGACAACCCATTGATATCTCATCACAAAGGTGTACTTTGGCCCCCTCAGTAGTGCCATCCATTCAACTGAAAGTACCAATAGCACAAAACAGTGTACAGCACCGCCATCCAGCAGAATTACAGCTACTTCATCCGGCCTGATGGAATTAAGACTACCTGCGGGCAAGATTGTGATTCGTTTCAGAAGAAAACAATCCTCTGATGAAACCTTTAACTCGAATCTGGAAGCAGAAGTGGGAACAAGATACTTTGTAGTGGAGGTTGTAGTGGAGAAGGTATCCCCTAATATGAATCTACTGATTATGTAAGTAGCGCGAAGAAAAGATATCCAAAGTCGGGAAGGTTTGGGAAACAGGGTGCGTTGGGTAGCGAAATTTAGGTTTTGCAAAGGCGATCATCTGCACGTAAGGAATCTATCCAACGCCTAAAATGAAGAATTAGAGTTTGAGTTCACTTAGATTTCCGTGGCATGGAAAGCCCTGTCAATGTGACAAATATTTTTTCTCCATCTAGGACCTTTGACTTAATTAAGAGGTTCTCTATCTCTGCGGCCAAGGATATCCATGCATCGGGAAGATTATCCGAAGGTCCAAGACCGAGCAACTTCCAGTCAGATGCGTAGAGAACCTGGTATTGAAACATTTTCTCGGAGCCGAGTTCATCCCCAATTATTCAATACCGAAGGAGTTGGCCAACAGAGCAGTCTGTCACTCCGAAGAAGTTCAACCCGGCTAAATGAGGAGTATCACGGTCTAGGGGAGCAGTGTGGGAGGCATAGAAGAGGATATACTACTTTTAAGTTATCCTTAGCCTGTAGGCAGAGAGGATCTACATGTCTTTTTTTTTTAAATCATTTAATGTGTATTCAGCTATCTAGCTACAACACCTGACCAGTGCTATGCGTTTACATTTTGGATGACTCTTTTGACGCTAGAGACACTCATACTCTGGATTTCACTCGAAAACACCACTACGAGGTATGTTCGCTTACACAGACAGTCGAACCTCCTCCATAAGTACCCACCAAAGGGAATTTGAAAAAACTTCGATTGTCCAAACATACCAGGGCCGCGAGAAAAGTGATTGTGTTTTGCCGGATTTGAACCAACTATTTACTGTCTCGAGTGGCCGGCAAAGACGAATTCTTCACCTTCCGGTGGTATCGGTGTAATCGCTCAGTATGCTCTGCATATCTAGGATAGCCAAAAAGAATCGCACCCGAATCGAAGTGAAAAGCAAACACACGCATACCTCCATTTGAAGACTTCTCAATCATGCAACACTCACCATTATCTTCTGAGTCCTCAACCTCGATCTAACCACATATCCCTAAGGATGAGGGTTTGACAGTGTTCCACGGGGTGCGTTATATAGCCTAGTGAAGATCTAGGTGGTAAGTGAAGATAATAAATGGGTCAAAGGGATGACAGGTCTTCTCTAGGAAGAGATGAATGGGCAACTAGTTGCAGTAGATGTTACATATGGGTCTTGCTGATGAAGAATTGGGCAATGGATATATGGTCTCCCCGAAGAAGAGATGGGTAAACAAATGCATTGTAACGGGTAAGTAAAGAAGACGTTGCGTGAGGAGTAAATTTCTCTCACGCTGAAATATTATACACAAGAGTAGAAGCCTTTGCCAGCCGGAATTAATCGTAATCGATTCTTGCCAATATCTTCGCATTGGCGGCTGTGTTCTTGTCCTTCTCTTCATGACTTTTTGTATATCCTTACATGACTTTTTACATGACTAATTGTATAGGGGAATGAGTGAGTGAGTGGTTGTTTATTATCCTATAAAGTCTATGACTATGCAAGGACATGTAGGTCCTTTCTGGCTACAGGCTGGGAGTATCTATGCCTCGGGTAGTGTACTACCTCCTTTGCCTCCCTCACGACTTCTCTCCAGCAGTAATACCCCCACAGGTCTTCATTCGAGTACACACTAAGAGGAGCCGTTATCCCGGCATTATCTCCCTTCTCCAGCCAACGAAACGACGGCCACTTGCGGGTGTGTAGCTGCAGGGAAAAGTCTCAAAAACCACTGGGTGCGAGCCTCTTCTATGACGAAGAGGCCGGCCAGCCGGGCGCAGCAGACCTGTGTATACCTAAGAACGTCTCTCAACCTTCCTAGCCTCCTCCTTACTCCTCCCCTGGTTCATGCCGCAGGAAAAACCGAAGGTCGTGAAGGGATGTCAGAAAAGTCTTGGTCGAGAATGACTGCCGTGAATGAGCCTAGCCTAGCCTAGCATCCAAAAGTCGTTACGGACGTTGGGTCGTCGGGTAGCTCATGTATTTCAGACGCGCTCCTGGCTAGTAGATTCGAAGTTAAGATTAGCAGGGACGATATTGTAGACGAGTCGAAATCTGCTTTCGTGGGCTTTTTGTTCGCCCGCCGGTGGGTAGCACATGTTGTAATATAACAAGGGCTTCCCTAACTACCGTTGTAGCGTTTGATACCGCATTATCTTTCATCATTCCCAGCATCATTATCGTCGTCTTGGTCGTCTTATGTGTTATCGGAAGCGTATCTTTGACGGAGGGGGAGATGACTCAGCTCAAAGTTGATAAGGTGTTACTCAATCTTGGCTCTGCAGACTTTACAGTGAGAGCTGGGGGTTCGTAGGGGAAACCACTGATAGGTGTTGAGAATAGTCCCCTCTGAAGCTTCAGTAGAAGAGTGGAAACTGTCCATTTTTGGCTCACTCAATTCTACGAAACCCACCTCCCACGGTTTTCTTCCAGAAAATATTGAAATTAGAAAACGTGTCAAACCAGTAAATATCTGAAAGCTTGCAGACAGTAGTAAACGGTCCCTTATAGATAATGACTCAGTAGGTACATTCATTCTTATCTACTCTACCACGCTATTATGATCGGTTTGGAGAGGAAACGATATCCTCTAGTCTAGTTTTGCTCTTGGCATTCGATAGCTCCGCTTCTTATGTGTTTTTTAGATTAGCAAATACTCTCAACACCTGAATAATCCCTTTACCCATTAAAATGGTGGAGAAAATTTGGAGTCTCGAGCGTCATTTAGTCTACAGTCAAGAAAATGATAGGATTGCTGTCCACTGTGGATGCGAGTTACTGATATTTTATGAGTAACCTTGGCTCATATTTAGAGAGGATCTTTAAGTACAAAAGTCTATCGGACTGAGTAATGCCACACAGTATCAAATAAAGACAAGTTCATTCAGAGATGCGGCCAATCTAAAGCAAAACATATCAATTGCAAAATTCGACCCCCTTCACGGCTTAGCCTCTCACACATCGACAGTGAATCCAGAGACATTATATGAAGTCAAGATTCCAATTTAACCTCATTTCGGTCCTAAAGTAATTGAGATTGCGTTCGCTACGAATTATTCCCATTGTCAAGACTTAATGAAATATTCTCTCAATTACCCATAATTTTAAAAATAACTATCGACAATCCTTACTTGGCGCTCAATCTAACACCTATGTATCTCAAGATTTGATAGTTCTTCATCGCCATTCATTTGAAAAACATCACCGTCCGTCTCACCTCCTCAACATAATATTTCTCAGGAATATCCTTTTACAATGCGTTGTGCTTACGCATTTCTCCTAGTTCCGAAGCCGTCAATGCTACATCTGGAGCGTTTAGTAGTTATAGGCGTTGACACAGATTACTCTCATTATGGTGTCTACAGACCTCATGTTCAGGGAAAGTTTCCCGATATCAGCCAGGAAATTGGTATAGCTATGACCAAGTACTCTATCGACATTCCAGGGACATATTTAAGGGCTTACTGTTCCTTTGATGTTCCAGTTAATGATATAGTAGAAAACGTCAAAACTAACATGGAGAAAATCACCTCAACATCTCATCTTAACTTCAATGTTGACGAAAAAAAGGTTCAAGAGTGCCTTGCTCATATCCAAAACATGCCACTGGGAATAAACGATTACTCACCAATAAACTTCGAAGACCTTAGGCGAATGAATTATTGTTCTGCAGGTGAAATTTTTGCCTTGAATTTTCGGAATCAACTGAGCGTGAAGGGAGCTGGTTTCAATTCTATAAGACGAGAATCTACAAGGACGAAATGGGTAAAATTTAGAGAGCCGATTGAAGCCCATGACATATTTTTGCAAGAGCAGTTCCATGGAAACCTATATGTTTATAATTCCAATGGTCAATTTACAGATAGTTATTTCACTTTACTTGTATGGTATCAGGGCCATCTACACCGATTTTTCAAGAATGCGTCTGAATCGTGGTTTAGCGCAGAAACCCGAATAGGCTCGGAGGCGATGAATGCAGAAAAGATTCAGTCAGGCTTACTGAAAAAATATAGGTACCCAATGAACTTTAATCTACTAATCGAACAAATCCAAGAGGAATACAAAAGTTGGCACTGCAGCCGTATTTTGGCATGGTGCAGCCAGCCAGTGATAAAACAGAAAAAGTTATCGGCCGAGAATAAAGTTCGCCAGTTTGATTTGAAATCACTTCCTATTTACGGGCTATATTCATTGGAGATATGATTTGGTTTTAAGATAAATATCGCTATTTGACCTGAGAATTTCAAATACCTTGATATTCTAATTATTGAATAAAGTAATACGCCTTCGGACATGTATTTAAATCACACATGATATTAAGGAAATATAATCCTTCAGTCTTGAGGTGGTAAAGTGCGTTCATGTGACGACTTGTGAGCCGATAAGTCCTGCAGCCTTCAATGGCTATCGAAGGCAACCTGTATTTTCTATCACTCCGAGGATTATGAGTAGACGAAAACTAATACGAAATCGCCATTGAGGCTACGCAAAGGATGGTGCCAAGAGTATCGGAAGCGTTACCCGTGTGGCAGAACAAGCCTTAGGTCAGTTTCACTGCCACTGTGAACGTAGGCTAGATTTAGATACCTCTGGATGTGTATCAGTAGCAGAGGAGACTTGCAGGTAGTTTGCTTCTCTATAGATGAATTACAGCTTTAACTTACAATCATACAAACGCCCATTTGCTTTCTATATTCGAGCTGTGACAATTCATTAAACGACTGAAGTGAAGCTAAGTGCATAATTTATAATCACGTTTGTATCAACGTGGCTTTCTCGATAGCCCCGACTATTCTAACCTCCAATACCAACGGTATTTTAGTTTTACCCCAGTATTTAATTATGTGTGCAGCAGTCTAGCCATGACATAATGTCAGAGAAAAAGTACCTAAAGGATGACTTGATTTAAGCGAAGAATGCTCACGTAGTGGGTGCATTCGCTGATACCACTCGCGAACTTTCAGCTAGGGACTTACAACCTTCCCTCAACCGTTAATATCCACCAAAGGGAGAAAATAAAAGACCTTTGGCTGCCCTAACATGCCTTTTTCATATTGTGTATAGCCACCACGCGAGGTATGGCCTCATAGTCCTCCCATTCTCGAGTGAGGTAGGTGTTCAGGCTACACAAACTCTAACTTGGGATATGAAGGCCAGTAGGCAGACCACAATACCTTCCGTAGTTGCCTGCTTTTTAATGTGTCGGCGGCGCTGTCCAAAATCGTTGCCTCTGCGCCCAGAGACACCCCAAAGTCGACAACACTCGAAAAATGCGAGTCCCAGCTTGCCCATATTTGATCTTTTTAGCTTGTTCGTCCCACGTCCCAGCTGCCTGTCCTCCCTCAAGATATGTAGCCCCATTAGAGCTAAGGTCTCTCATAGATCAATACCAAAGCTTTGTAGATTATGATTTAGTTTTCTCCTCGCGGACACAAAACGCATCGTAACTTGTTAGTGGGAAAAGGCCTATTTTAGATGAGGCAAATGCCCGATTGCAATTGGAGTAACACCTGTATCGGTATCTGAGGCGAGAGATATGCTTAAGAATGCGTTTGCACTAGATTTATCTTGGCCTTCCCAGACATGCAGAGCTTACTGAGAGATTACACTGGCATCACTGAAAAGTAATATTATCATCTTAAACAAATTCAAAAGGGTTTCAATCTGATCACATTTCATTTTGGTCACTACGAGGGTCGAACTCGCGACCTTGGCGTTATTAGCACCACGCTCTAACCAACTGAGCTAAGCGACCTTGAATGTACTAACGAGAATAAAATTTAATATACAATATCAAAATAACTCTTAATATCTAATGGAAGCTTTTATTTATCAAATGTTTTATAAAATTTGGTCCCTCACGGCTCCATACATGACGTGAGCAGGGCTATGTAGGGTTTTGAACTTGAAACACCAACAGTCTCATACGGATACACAAAGTAAATGGATCAAAAAGAATTGGGTGAGATCCTTATACATATGGATTTGGTTGGTCTAGTCTTCATGTAAGCCCATATCTAGTTCGTCCACTAGTTATGCGAGCAAGGGTACTATCTGATGATATTCTGGTAAACGCCAAATAAATGAGGATGGTTTTCAACTCTAAAGGAAAAGTAAGTGGTACCTCATTTAAAATTAAAAATTAAAAAAAAACCAACTGGTTTGATTTCATTTAGCCTGTTCCGGTGCCTTAAGGGCCCAACTGGAATGCAGCAAATATCTTTGCAGATGATAAAACGGGAAAGACAGAAATCAATCAAAGAGGAACACCTTCTAGTATCTATAAACACCTGAGCAAGGCCCTGAGCAGCACAGCCATGCAGATAAGAAGCGAACTCTTTTTTTATATTTTGAAATCATTTAATGTGTATTCAACTATAAAGCTATAACACATGACCGATGCTATGTATCCATGTTGGATGACTCTTTTGACGTTAGAGACACTCATACTCTGGATTTCATTCGCAAATACCACGATGAGGTATGCTTGCTTACACAAACAGTCGACCCTCCTCCGTTAGTACCCACCAAAGGGAATTTCGAAACCTTTGGTTATCCAAGCATGCCTTCTTCATCCATGCATATCAGCGCCGCGAGAAATGTGGTTGTGTTTTGCTGGATTTGAACCAGGGATCCACTGTCTCGAGTGGGATATATGTCCAAGATATCCAGACTCTACTTGGCAGACCGGCAAAGACGAAAGACCACTGCACCATCCAGCCACGGCAGTATTTATAGTGTCGCCTGCACTCTCGAAACTGAAGTCTTGGCACGCACAAAGCTCAATTTGTAAAAAATCCTTGCCAAAATTCAAAATTCCACCCCCGTCGAGACTGTATCCATCTGTCGCATCATCTTATCAACTTGTCCTGAATCCTCTCACGCCAATCCCAAAGAACTGTCTTCCAGATTTGTGCGCCACGCTTTGTGTCCTTCGTTGGGTATAAAAAACGGCGTGGGCGTATATTTGGTGACCGGCTGAGGCCAGAGAAAGTCGACGAGAGGTGTAATCATTGGAATAAGGATGTACTTGGTCGTACTTGTAGACTTGATGAGGTTTAGGTAGGAATCGATCTCGTTGGGAGTGAGAATTTGAGGTGGTGGAGTAATTTGAATCATTGCCTCGTGGGCCAACTTGTTCGGTATTGCGAAATTTGACTGAACTTGGCTGTGGGAGAATATTTCACTCCCAAGTTCGTAGAGGACACCGCGTACAGGTGTTCAGTCTTGCCCTCCATCCATAATTCGTTACGGAGATGGGGTCGTCGGGTGACTCATTTATTTCAGATGCCCACCTGGCCCGTAGATTCTGAAGTAAAGATCGAAAAGGTCGATATTATTGACGAGTGGAAATCTGCTTTTCTTAAGGGCGAAATGGTCTTTTACTTTGCTTTCGTGGGCTTTTTGTTTACCAGTCGTCGGGCAGCGCATGTTAAGATATAACGAGGGCTTCTCTGACTACCGTTGTAGCGTTTGGTATCACATTATCTTTCCTCATTCCCAGGATCATTCTCGTCCTCTTGGTCGTCTTATGTGTTATCGGAAGCGTATCTTCGACGGAGGAGGAGATAACTGTTGGTGCAATACGTTGTACACGCATAAATAAAAGGCAATAAAATAGATATAGTAAAATGGTATAGTAATATTCACATTTATTCATTCTATCTATCTGTTCTAATCCTCATGGTGTCATGTAAGAATGCCGAGAGGATATTACGTAAGTTGCACTACTGTTAAAATATGTTAATACATATTCCACCTATTACTAGAGTGCAAATGACTACTGTTCCAACAATAACTAAGCTCAAAGTTGAAAAGGTGTTACTCAATATCAGCTCTGCAGACTCTACAGTGAGAGCTGGAGGTTCGTAGGGGACACCAATGACAGGTGTTGAGAATATTCCCCCTTCAATGGATGGTAATTGGAGTCATAACAAATTATTCTCGACAAAAAGGGGACAATGATTTTCTCCTATGGCAAGCCCATCAACCCGTGTTACGTCTAAATAATTGTTAGGTTCGACTTGTCATGTTCAAGATTTCAAATTCAAATTCAAAATGGTTTTCTCCTGCTTCATAATACCCTCATTGAACTTCACCCTAAATTTCAAACTTGGGAAGCTTTGGAAAAGCGAAACGACGAATTTGCTTGTCGGCCGATACCCATTCAAAATTTATGCCGCCGCGCCCGTAAGATACCTGTAAGCGTCTTAAGCTATATGTTGCTGGATTTTTTGAAAGATTTTTTATGAGTGTGTCAAACTTTTGAGCCTCCTCAAAATCTTGCAGCAATCCAAGCTCAAGCCTCTTTGCACTGTCTGCCTCAAAACCTATGCGCGTAAGTGGTTGGATATATTTTGTGCTCAAAATTTTTCTAAAAAGATGTAGATGGCCCTGATTCCAAGCCAGTACATTCAAGAATCTGAATTCTTTTGGTTTACTGTTGAGCTTAAGTTGAGTTTGGCCGAAGACGTGGTCATGTAAAAAAATCTACTGTGTATCTATCGGTACATCTACATTTATCGGTATCGTCCCACTGTATATTTTACGTGCAAAACCACCGTAATTTCTCACTAATTTTAGTTCATTTCGAAAATTTAAGCTGAATACGTCACGCGTCAAAAAACTTTTTTTTGTACAAGGCCTTCGAGTGATATTGCCGTCTGAAAAGTATGTCCCGAGTTCAACAATTGAATGTGAGATAGACACGGTGCTAGGTCTTTTTCTGTAACCCGAAAGTTAATGTGAGAGACATCTGTGATATCATCGTGACCAGATATGATTGCCGCTATAATATTTCGTACTGAAACTTTGGTCGAGCAGTACGCCCTTAAATATGTCCCTGGACCATCTTCATGGTTCATTGTCATGGTTAAATCAAGTTCTGGTCTGATCTCAGGAAACTTGTCCGGAATCAGGGGCTTATGGATGTTGAGATCTAGACATGCCAGACCGAACTGCACGCAGTGCGGAGTAGACGAAGACTACTCATCTTCGATCGCTACCAGCTTTGGTGAGGTCTCGGTTGGTAATGATCTCGGTGGTGTGGATGTTATTCCATCACGTAACCAGAACACAATGTTTCTACCTAAGCGAAGCAGAACATAGATAGAAAATTAGATGTAAATTAAAAAAAAACACTTTTAATTACTGAAATATAAGTTCAGTAAAACCAAAACCCTACTGATCCTAACCTTTTATCTCTGATCCTTAAATCCCCAATATCTTACGATTCGTACAGTATTGACTTGACGGTCAACGTTCACTTCTATCATTCCAGATACCCCCTAGAACTTTAATAATGGACACTGTAGTGAGAATAATTCGTGTCGACGCCTATAACCAGAAGACGTCCTTGCAACACTGAATATTCGGGTATTAAAAGGAATGCATAAGCACAACGCATATTTTCTAATTTTTATAGACTTTGCTGCGTCCGAGAGGTAAGCTAGTTGTTGTCAGTCGTCAGATAAAACGTGATCAGGAACTGATGTTGCTTTAAATTATTTAATATTGAGTTGAGCACCTTGATGGGAGTGCTGAAAGAGAATTATCCAAAAATTAACTTCAGAAATCGTGGGTAGTCATAAAGATAGTTTTCTGACCTGGATCGTGTAAATAATTCGTAGCAAGCACTCTCTCATTTAATTTGATAAAACCGCGAGGATTAATCAAAATCCTCATTTAATCAATGCTCTCGACTTTGGCGCTTTGAATGTGAGAGACTTCGTCAATTGAGATATAGTAGAGAGTGCTGGATTCTTGGGGCTTTAGATTAGCAGCAATTCTGGTCTGATACAATTTTAGGATTTATAACCTTGGACAACCACTCATGGCGTTCCAAATATTAATTTCCTCTGTATATTAGCCAATGTTACCCATGAATTGGATAGCGCATGCCTTGTCATTCCTCCTTTACAATTTGCATCTAGCCGTGATATTGATCTTAGACTTAGGTTACCTATTTCCCTTACATTTTCTTTATTTTTGATTAATCGAATAAAGACCAATTATATCCGTACAGAAACTGGGCAGAAGCTGGGTGAAATCTTTAGAAACCACTGTACAAATTTACGCGGTCACTGCTCTTCTTCTTAATTCGGATGATTATTCTACTCATTTGTCAATTTGGATAAGCCGCAAGTCCATTTGCGGCCGGCTTCTTTTTGATAAAGATAATCACTCTTATTCAGATTAAATTCACGCCTTCATGATACTTGTTCAGGCAAGAAGTGCCACATAATCCTCGGTAGATATCCCTGGTAGTATTATGTATGAGTGAGTTTGTACTATTCTGCTTCTTGAGTGAGGGCTAGAGTCTCGCAGGGGAAACTGTTGATACAAATTGGTGCCAAGATCCTCCAGGATTCTGCAAGATTCAGCTCACGGTAGGAGTCTGGAGTAGCAGGGCCAATTTTGTGGTTTTAGATTTTGTCTGAGGGTATAATTTCCAATAACTCATGTAAGCTGAGTAAGTTACATTACGCACCATCATAGCTAGATATCTGAATACAATATAGATTAAAAGCCGAAAGTAGTTTGGCCATGCAAATTCGCAGTGAGCACGTGGAGCTCAATTTGTATTCACAGAAGAAAAAGTACCCGCACTATTCTGTCTAATCTATCCATTTTTTTGCACCAGATTTTAATCGCATATGCAGGTATCTAGCTATGAAACAATATCAGAGAAATATAGAAAAGATAACTCAATTTACAAGAAGAGCACTCAGGCCTTGGATTTCATTTGCGAGTACCACTACGAAGTTATGGTGGCTTTTTCTTCACCCTAGTCAGCCCTTATCCGTGAATACCCACCCAGAGAGAATTCTCAAAATGCCTGAGTTATCCACACACATCTCCATCATCTTTTTGCCTCTCTTCGCACGAAATGTAGTCTGAGGCGTCTCCTTCCCAAGTGGAGTAGGTGCCCAGGCTACTCAAACCATAGTAGAGAACACCACCAGGAGGCGAACCACCGCGCATTCCATCGTTGGCTTGTCTTTATAGTGTCAGCTGCACTCTCGCAGGCGAAGTCCCGGCGTACACAAAACTCTTCGATTTGTAAACTTTAGAAACTCTAGAGACAAAAGATAATTGGCGAGTGGCCAAAAGTTGGCGTGAGCTCATTTCATAAGTTTCCAAACTCAAGAGAAAATTATCCCAAAGGATATGAGTCTGTATGTGAGTACATAGGAATTCATCGACTGTCCATGTCAAGTTATTATCACGAAACATCCTGTCCCTGGTCTCCTAAAGCCCGAGGGTTTCGTACGATTACCAACATCTATGACAAACTTTTTGAATCGTTATTTGTTATAAGCAAGAGTCATGTTTGTTTGGGACCAGTCGTTGGAATCCTGGGAATGATGTTGTGCCGGCCCATCTTTGATTGGAGATCGATGAATACGTGGCTACTAGAAATGTCGGGGCGTCACATAAACCTTCGCAAAATTCGAAATTTTACACGCCTTGAGATTGTATCCCTCTCTTTCATTATCTTGTAAACCTGTCCAAATTTTTCTCACGCCCATCTTGTAGAATTAACTCCTACATTCGTGTGCCAATATTTGCATCTACAGATGGGTGTAAATATTGACGTGGGCGTGTAGTTGGCGGCCAGCTGAGACCAGAGAGTTGTCGGTGAGAGGTTTCGTCATTGAAACGAGGATGTACTACGTCGCACTTATAAACTTGAGGTTTTGGTAGAGAGCCTTAAGCGTTGCGTCAGTAGCCAACTTCTTTATTATTGTGAAAGTTGACTTAAATTGGTACAAGGAGAATATGCACTACCAGGTTGGTAGAGGGCATTAAAAGCAAATGTTTAGTCTCTGATATCTCAGAAAAGTTCATTCATCGCACAGTAAAAGGTAATAATTTTCACGGGATGGATGTGCATGGGATAGGGATTTTTATATATTGATGGAGATATTGATTGATGCTAGATTTCATGAAGGACTTTTCTTGTCTTATTCATTTACGTGCTAGGTGAAGTGATTCCCGTTGCACTCCTACTGGAGCTTAAGCACGAGTGGGGCCTGGCTGGATCAGGTTAACTACCATTAAGTACATCTACCTCGTCCCACCTCAGACTTCACCCATGTGTTGAATCATGTCAAGCCCAACCGTCCAGAGAACCCCCTTAAGACGCGCCGAAGCGCAAATTCCTCCTCAGCCTTGGCCACCACGCGCCCGAACCCTTGACACCTCCGCCATCTGTAACTTTTCTCTCCGCTTCATTTCCAGCTTTGGCTCATCTCAGCATCTCCTCATCTCTTCCAGGGGTCGTTTTCTTCACTGAAGGCCTCATCCAGTCGCCCACCAAGGCCTCCTCAGTTTGTATTCCCTTTTGATTCCTTCATGCAGCATCCCTCTGTCCTTCAGCCAATCTCGTCATCCCAGAAACTTTGTAGAATGTCCACCCCTCCGGCCTTGCCCCGTCGCTGCCGTACCCCTAAACGTGGAGGTCGAAAACGCGACTGAGAGCTCAAGACCAAGGCACCGGTGCTCCAGCCTTTGTCGAACGCTCGGGTTGGTGTGCCGGCGAAATTTCGTGCGTATTTCGTCGGTGGCGATTCGTCGCAGGTCGAGTTGTTGGTGCCCTTGGCCGAGGTGAGGACGCATCTAAGGCCGGTATTTCGACCGTACCTTCACAGCGACTGGCAGTTGCGTAGGGTCGGACATCCTCTTGCTTCTTTATTATCGATTTGGCTTTTGGAGGTATGGGATTGCTTAGGTAGGTGGTGAGATGATTCTTGAGAGGGCCGCGAGATGAGTTTGGCTAGAAATGTTTTTCCAGAGAAATAGAAAATAAGATGTTGAAGGTGTCGGTTGTTGTAATACGGACATCAGACAGGTTATAGGCTGTCTGCGGTTCGTATCTGTGGTGTAGATGGTTGATTTCATTGAGTTGTGCAGTCGTGAAATCTCTGCAAGTCGGATTTTCGACCAAAAATGAGCCAACACCACTCCTCCCGATCGCCAACTCGACGAAAAGTCTCAAATTCACCCTTTGTCGTGACTGAATCTCGGCTCTGGGAGAATATTTCACTCCAAGGTTCGTAGAGGCACCACTGGCAGTTGTTCAGCCTTCGTCCTCCCATGCGCGACTTGTACGATGGCCAATGGAAATTCCTAGGAGCTTTGTTGGGCTACACAGGCGAGGAATTCCACTTGTGCGCAGCCAACGCCTGCCTTGTATTTGAGCGCTTTCTTCACGCGACCACTCGCGCACTCTAAGCTAAGCTAATCTGGAATCGGTTTCTCCAATCTGTCACTACATATCACCGGCCTTGTCTTAATTATGTCTGAGCCTATCCCCGAAGCTATTCCAACTTCTGCCGACCCGCGCTCCAAGCGACCAACCAAAAAGCGCGCCCTCTCACCGCGCGCCCAGACTGCCGAGCATATTAATGCGCTCTTCGCGAAGCCAGAGTTAGCTTGTGCCACTAGGCAAATTGGGACGACGGCTTACTCTCATCCGCCGCCACCAGAAATCGTTCAGAATGTGCAGGGTTCGAGTGCCGGTGCGGGATCAGGAGAATTCCATGTGTACAAGGCTAGCCGGAGAAGAGAGTATGAACGTCTGCGCGACATGGAAGCTGAGGTTGAACAGGAAAAAGTAAATGAACAATGGGAGCGAGAGAAAAAGGAAAGAGAGGAAAGAGATCGAGAGAGTACCAGAAAAAAAAGAGAAAAAAGAGATCGTATGAAGCACCGGAAGCAAAAAGGTGGATCTAAGGAGGGTGAAGATAAAAGCAAAGATCTTCAAACCAATTCTATACAACCAACTGCAACGGGTCAGAACCAGCCGCCGGCTTCTGATGCTGAATACCAGGCATTAAATGTTCCAGAGGAACTGGGAATTATTATTCACGACGACAATTAGTGGCTAGAATCTTTGGCCAAACTATCATCAAATATCGTCACCAGCTCTTAGCGCTCATCGGTGGAAAATATGAGGGCGGAGACATTTAAAGTACTACGGTAATTGGAATTAAGCCTTCCCGTTGAGGTTTATGGTGATTCCTGATCGCAGTTTTACATTACGCAGTCTCAAGTAGACTTCCGTCATTCATCCCCAGGACTAGCTCCTCCACCGCCTGCCTGTCTCGCAGCTTTAGCACTACAAATATCGTCTACCCTCAAAAGCAAACAAGCAGACTAGTTTAGAAGTTAGCAGGTTATACCATGACATTTTTTGAGAAAATCTTGCCTCTACTGCCGTCTTGATGCTCTGTAATTTGACTGCTTCAGGTTCCCAAACACTGTACTCCTTCATATCTACTAGTTTTCCATTGTCACCATTGATACCCCACGAACTTTCACCTTCTGCGTGCTTAGCTCTCAATGCTGTGAGAACCCTGATTGGACTAGCACCAGCATTCTGAATAAGAGTCCTTGGGATTACTTCCATAGCTTCGGCAACAGCTCTGTAGGGCCATTGTTGTACTCCTTCAATACCTTTGGCGAGTTGGCCTAGTCTCACTGCGACAGCCATCTCGGTAGCACCACCTCCTGGAGACAACCGAGGATGGAACATGACATTCCTAGCCACTGCCATAGCATCGGCTAAATTTCGATCAATTTCATTCAGAACATCTTTTGAAGGGCCTCGGAGCAGGATTGTACAAGCCTTGGGCGATTGACACTTGGTGATAAATGTGAAGTATTCATCTCCGATTTTCTCGATTTCAAATAAGCCGCATTGTGTTCCTACGTCAGACTCTTGGAGGTCCTCAACCCTGTTGACGACGGTAGCACCGGTCGCGCGGGCGATACGGTTGTTATCGGTTTTTCGAACTCGACGTAGGGCCGTTACGTTTGCCTTCACGAAATAGTGCTGTGCCAGATCTTTTGACGGTTAGTCATATTCCAATGATGGTGCAAATAATTCAAACCTACCGGATACCCCCTTTTCAGTAATAACTAGATCTGGTTTCAAAGCTAGAATTGCATCACACATGATTTTTACTTGTTCTTCCTCGATTTGTAATATTTTGTTCCAGTCCTCCTCTTTAGTAATTTCAATATTTGTCTGAGATTCCCCTTTCTTGTACTCCAAAGTGCAGTCCAATAACACAATTCTAGGATTTTCTATCCGTCTTCTCATTTTTGGATGCGTAATATCTTTATTTAGCATGACTCCATCGAGGACCCTACTTTCCTCAATCTGGCCGCCAGGAACCTTTTCAACACGAGCATAACGCTTGATATCAACCTCTTTCTTTCCACCCCCAATATCAAAAGTTACAGTCCGGACAGCTTTGAGAGCTAGACTGCACATGAGTTCCGACCATCGAGTTACAAATTTCGTGCCGATTGACGAGGCAATTAGTTGATACATAGCCTTGTCATCTTCGACATCAATAGGGATTGATATTTCCTCAACGATTTCGAGGGCGTCCTTGAGAGCATGTTTGAAAGCAGATATGATCACTACTGGGTGGATATTGCGTTCTAACTGTGGCAAGGCTTGGGCTAGAATTTCTCCGGCTGAGAGAGTTAGCCGTTTACCATGAAGTAAGATTGCCTACACTTGCCCAAAATGATTACTGTTGTAGTCCCATCCCCAACTTCCTCGTCTTGTGTTCTACTAAGTTCGATCATACTTTTTGCCGCTGGGTGTGAGACTTCGATTTCTCGAAGTATAGCGTGTCCATCATTAGTTAAAACTATCCCTCCCATGGGATCTAACAGCATTTTTAGCATTGCCTTTGGTCCTAAGCAGGACCGAATGATGTCTGCTACTCTGTAGCATAGTTAGCTTAGAGCTCTGAGATATTGAATACCATCATTACGTCTTTGCAGCCGTAATATTCGAGACTTGAGCCTTTCTCCCCGTTTGTCTCTCCCCATCTTGGGTATCTATTTTTTGTTTCATCAGTAAGCTGCGGTATTACTTTCAGCATTCAGCCTTGGGCCGAACATACTCATCACCAGTACCGGCGCCTGCATTTTTGCACTGGAGGCTTCACAGGCTTGTGATTCTTTATTTTAGTAATTATTTAAAGCTGATCCTATCTCTCCAGAAATTGTAGATTGCTGATACAGATGAGGGAATTGATATGTTAACGCGCCCACTGAATTCTTCCACGCGCTGTGCACAGACCAGTCCAGTCGAAAATTCGCAATAAGTCTTCAGTGTTTATGACGTGCGCCGCATGACCAATGCTTTTTCGTTGTGAACGAACCCACCTTGTTGATGCCCTAACGACTTCGTATTCACAACAACTTTTATTAATATCTTCATAAATTCGAGCATTTTGTTCTCCCACAACAATCAAGGCAAAAATTGGAAATGAATTAACTAGGTTTACCAAAAGTGATTCTTCAACTTGCTACGAATAGTCGACTAAATAAATGCTATATTATTCTACAATATTATATTACCAACTGACAGCACCCAAAGGTAAAGTCAAATTATGCCTTCTTTTTATTAGATCCTACCCTCCCCACGAAGTTTGCCATCGCCTTATCTACCCCGATGATTTTCCTTACCAAGCTCTGAATGCCAACAGGCATGACATTAATCCAGTCAATCCACCTTGCATACAATGGTAATGCTATTTGCGCACTTTTGCCTGAGTCGATAACTGCAATTATCTCCCTAGCAACATCAACGGATTCTAAAATTGGTGCGAAGAAACTGTTTGGTGTTTTTACACCGTTGAATAAAGGCGTGCTGAATTGTCCCGGTGTGACAAGTACCGTTTTGATGTTAGGCTTAGACTTTAATTCTGCAGTTAGAGACTTGTGCAGTGCTGTAACCCCCGCCTTAGCTGCTGCATAGTCAGATAGTGATGCAGCACCAATCGTGGAAATGACGCTTGATATGGTAACAATTGTGCCAGAATCGGCAGCAATCATCCTTGGGAGAAAAGTCTTGAGGGTATAAAAATGCGATAACAGATTTACGTTGATACTTTGCTCTATGTCTTCCACAGACATGTTGATAAGAGACTGACCATTAACAACGGCGGCGTTATTAATCAAGATCGTTGGTGTGCCAAACTATCGATATTAAGTAATTGTTTTTAGATTTACTATTTAAACTTACGTCTCGTTCAATTTCAAGCGCCACCTTTGCCACCTGGCCCTTGTCACTCACATCACACTTGTAGGCGGTCACACCACGTGCCTCTCCAGATTCGAGCTCCTGAACGTCTAGTACTGCCACTGTCGCGCCTCGCATTCCATAGACTTCTGCAATGAGAAGGCCAAGACCACTAGCCCCTCCAGTAATCACTATAACTTCTTCTGAGAAATCAATTTCCCGTGGCTTAGCGTACGCTAATTTTGTGTTGAGCATTTGCGCGAAGGATAATAACGTTAATAGAGAAGCGTATCCAATGGAAATTTGAATGGAGATGTGAGTCCATGGTGTAGCTTGTGCTCGCATGCACAGTGGTATCATCCATGCCACAAAAGGATGTAGAATAGTTGCATGAAGGACCTTGAGGATGAGATCTATGGAGAACGGTTTGGCCCAGGGAAGCTCCTCAGGATGGTTTGGGGTAGACATTAGCTTGAAGTTATTGATTTCACGAATTAGGAATAAGAATATATGAACAAAAACGATGAGTTAACAACATGCTCCAATATTGAAACGTTATATAGCACGCGGAATACGTATCTCTGTTTCAGCTCAATAGTTAATCCAAACACGTGACACTACCATAGCTTAGGCAGCCATCGATATCTGATGGCGTAGTGGTATGTCAAACGAAGCGGGCTTCTTGGCTCGTTCAGCAAGGCCTAACCCCTCTTAAGAGGATAAAAAGAGGAAAAATTAATCCAGGCACAACAAGATACACAATAACACAAGTTTTGAAGCGCGGGCAGATCTACATTAAAGAATGGCAACTACTTGTTAATGATGAATATTTGCAATATTCCAGCGGACGACCTTTGATTGGTCCTTTGGCGCTATTGAGGGCTAGAATTTGGAGCACAAAGACTGAATACCTGTATGCGGTGTCCTCTATAAATCTGATAGTGAAATGTTCTCCCAGACCCAAATTCCATCAAATTTTGCGATGTCGTAGAAGTTGCCCTACGAGGCAATGATTCAAGACTCCTCACCTAGTCAATTTCTCCGACCCAACGAGATCGATCTCCACCAACACCTTATCAAGCTTAAAGGTACGACTTAATATATCCTCATTTCTATTATCACATCTCTCTCCGACTCTCTATGGCCTCAGCTGACCACCAAATAAACGCCCACGCCGATACTTACAACAAACGGAGGAAGCAAAGCGTGGCGCACAAATCTGGGAGACAGTTCTTTGGGATAGATGTGGGAGGGACCAGGATAAGTTTATGAGATGACACTGAGGATGAATACAATCTCGATGGGTGTGAAATTTCGAATTTTAGTAAGAAGTTTCGCGAATTGAGCTGTGTGTGTGCCGGGGTTTCGCCTGCGAGAGTGCAGCTGACACTATGTTGTAATTAAGGTTTGAGTAGGTATGAGATGTTGAATATTCTAGGGATAGTGCAGAGGGTGGATAACGATTATCAGAGCTTGACGATATGATGAATAGCTTGGTTATATTATTCTACATATCACAGTAGTAGATAGGACTTATATACACATATTTGGCACCCGCGATACAGTACATCACCGTCTATGCATGAAGTACTACAATCTTAATTCCAAGCAATACTATCCCACATTACTCTATGCCATTGTATAGAGCTGCGCCTCAATAGTCGATCGTAATAATAGCCATGTAGGGCTGTGCAGCACTCGCATAGATGTGTTGTATCCCTGGCACTTGGCAGAGATAAATTTAGAGTAAATGCAATAATCACATCACAACAAAACCAAGAAATCCATCACATCTTAAAATCATTCAAATCAAATCCCGATCATACAACATCAAGCATAGATCCCACATCATATTATCCACAACACTTCTTACAAGAACTTCCATCTGGTGCAATGGCCCCAGCCGTTGCATCGTCATCGACAACGCCCCCGAATCCAGGGGGGCAACTCCACCCAAGCCTGCTAGGCATTGTTAATGCAATGCAAAAAGCAGAACAAGAAAGAAAAGAAAGATTGGGCATAGCCCAGGAATTTCTTGAACTAATCGACTCCTGGGCCAAGAGCAAAGGAGAGAAGCAAGCAGCAGCAGTCGTCGCGACTCTGATGAACAAGATCACGCCTGTCATCACTGCCTTTGCAGTAGATCAGGCAGAAGTAATCAATAGTCCAAGTAAGAACTCCCCCGCCATGGCAAGCACTCCCAAACCAGTCGCGCCTAGGAACCACATTGTTGTTGAGAACAACAGCCACGGCCTACCTCCAAAGCCGCAAGAAAAAAGCTCGCCTTGGGTTACAGTTGCTCGCAAAGCAGCCAAGTTACCAACACCGCCCAGTGCGCAAGTTCCGAGAAGACCGGCTCCGATAAGCCGCCCTAAGGCACAGACAACACCCAAGGAAGACAAACGCCTGTTCCTTCGTTTGGGTAGAGATCACCACTGGCACAAATTATCACCAGTCACAATCAAAAAGATAATAACCGACAAGGCTGGGATAGCAGCCTCAGCTATCACCTCGATGTACCCAGTCAGGTCGGGGATCGCTCTCGAATGTGCGTCAGACGCATTGAGAGACACAATCATCAGAAGTGCACCTTCCCTACAGGAAGACAACACAGTGATTGAGGCAGCCTCAAAATGGACATCTCTGATGGTACCACATGTGCCATTGTATATCAGGACACTTGAAGGCAGCATGCCAGTCACCATTGAAATGGTGAAGAACGAGTGCCAGGCAGTATGTGGCGCCACACCAATCCAGGTACGGCCCACAGAAACAAAGCTTGGTCAGTACTCAACGAGCTGGATCATTCATTTCCAACAAAAACCAGCAAACACAAAGTTCCGTCTTTTTGACGAGAGCGGACCGGCAATTCCCTTCTCGCGCCGACGACCAATCGAGCAATGCCAACGTTGCTGGGGATTCCACACTACGCGTTCCTGTACCCGGAGCCAACGATGTGGACGATGTGGGGGAACCCATGAGACATCAGATTGCCAGGCCAAGGTGCCAAAGTGCTCAAATTGTGCCGGACCTCACCACTCACATGAGAGTAGCTGCATGGCCCGACCAAGAAGACAAAACGGGATAATTCTGCCCCGTACCCCTGCAGAACTACACATCATCAGAGAACGCGGGCATCGTGATTATCACGCTGCTCTAGCGTATTCGGAAAGGAAGGGCAAGGCAGTTGAAACTGTCATTACCCCGGATTCAACAATGACGTGTTAATGTTAGGGAACCCCTCAACAAAAGCACCAAAAGATAAACATAACACTCTCCACTTTCACCAAGTGAATGTAGGAAGGGGTGGGGAGAATACAGATATAGCATTGCAGCAGGCATGGGACGCCGGTGCACATGTAGTCATGGTACAGGAACCATGGACAAGGAAGAAAGAGGGGGGTTTTATCACCAAAAGTCACCCTGGATACAATAGCCACATACCGTTTAGAGGAACAGACGTCCGGCCCCGCGTGAGTACTTTCACACGCAAAGGCATTGGTGCGACTCAATTTTTTCCGCCGTCATCAGGCCCGACATCTGACTACTGTTTTGTAAAGATGGGCAGCCTGACTTTCGTCAACGTGTATCGTGCCCCGGGCACCAGTGGAACCTTGGAGCCCTTACTTCGGTGGGTAGTCAGAGGACTCGTGGTTGTTGGTGGCGATTTCAATTCTGTGTCACAGCATTGGCAGCCGCAAACGACAATTCAGTACGGCAATGGAGGCCAGATCATGGAATGGGCAACAGCTCACGATATGGATCTAGTTAGCATTGTCGGAGAGCCAACGCATAGGGATGGGAACGTGCTGGACTTAACGTGGAGCAACACAGCTGCAACAGCATCAGTCTCCAAGCAGTATCACTGTACCTCAGATCACTCGACCATCGAGGGTACAGTCTTAAACCCTACAGTATCAGACCTATCTGGAATTGTAAGGAACACCCGTGTCAGCGATGAGAACCTAAAGGAATTCAACCGATGTGTCAGCCAATGGACCAAAGCTGCCCCTCTGGACAGTGTCATGGACATCGAAAAATTCACAGCTAATCTCCTGCAGGCTCTTGCAGACGCGCTGAAGATTGCGGGGAAAGTCCCAGCCATTGAAAGCGGAAAAACCGGGCCCTGGTGGAACGATGAATGTCGCATCAAGTGGCAGGATTACAAGGCAGCGAGAGAAAATCCGGACCTTGTAAGACAGGCGCGTAAAAGCTTTAGAGCCGTTGTGCGAAAAGCCAAGCGAGAGTACTGGAAGAGGCAAGTGGAGGCAGTTACAACTGACGCACAGGTATTCAAGCTCATGAGATGGGCTAAGCCTCGACCAGCAGCTGAGCCCCCTCCTTTGCAGATTGAGGAAAATCGGTGGCTTTCAGACCCGCGAGAGCGGGCTAGTGCGCTACGAGACATTCTCTTGGCAAGATTTAGCAGCGAGAACGACATCCCAACCTGGGAGAATGGACAGGAGGTGCGCATTCCATGGGATACGGAAATATCACTGGAAGATGTGACAAACGCTACCATCTCTGTCAATGATACGGCACCGGGAGCGGACAAAATAACAGTACGTTTACTGAAATCCTGTTGGTACCACCTCGGGCCTCTGGTCAAGGATCTCTACCAGGCCTGTCTAAAAATCGGCCACTTTCCGACGGCATTTAGGGTGGCAGATGTTGTGCTTCTTCCCAAACCGGGACGAAATCTATCAACTGCCAAGGGCTGGCGACCAATCTCGCTGCTGTCGAGCTTAGGTAAAGGACTTGAGCGTCTAGTTGGCAAGAGAATGGCATGGCTGACGATAAGTCACCAAGTTGTTCATCCGCAATTATTCGGCTCAGTACCAGGACGATCTGCGGTCGACCTTGCATCCTGTGTAATCCATGATGCTGAGGCGGCCATGAGAAGCGGAAAATGTGCGGCTATGGTCACACTAGACATCCAAGGTGCGTTTGATGCAGTCCTTCACAACCGACTACTCCAACGCCTTCGAGAACAAGGCTGGGCACTATCTCTGTGCCGGTTCATTCAGACCTTTCTCTGCCAACGAAAAGTCCAGGTGAAATACCGTGGTGGAACCACAGACGAGAAGATGCTGGAATGTGGAGTACCTCAGGGCTCGCCACTGTCACCACTTCTTTTCATGCTCTATATCGCTGTGCTTTTTAAGGACCATGGACTAACGAGCAGGTTTGGCTATGCTGATGATCTAGCCATCATCAGAGTTGGAAGCACCGCGGCCGAAGCTATCGCAGCAGTCCAAGAAGACCTCGACAGCCTCGTCCTTCTCGCCAGAGAACACAGGATCGAATTTGACCCGGCAAAGTCGGAACTTCTAGTGACCGGAGGAGGTCCTAGGAAGAAAATCAACACAGCCAACCTCTCCATCTTGGTGAAAGATCGCCGGATCGAACCGTCGCCTCATATCCGGTGGTTAGGAGTCTGGCTTGACACTCAGCTGAACTTCAAGCAG